CACACACGCATGCACGCACATACACTGCATAAATAGATAGATGAATGAAGGGATAGATGGACGAATAGAAAACCAAAGTTTTTTAAAGTATTTTGGATCTGGGGATTGGGAGAAGGCTCAACGCATAAAATGTTTGCTGTTCAAGCATAAAGACCCAAGTGTGGAGCCCCAACACCCACATAAAATCTAGATCCAGGGGGGCTGGAGAGATGGCTCAGTGGTTAAGAGCATTGCCTGCTCTTCCAAAGGTTCTGAGTTCAATTCCCAGCAACCACATGGTGGCTCACAACCATCTGTAAAGAGGTCCGGCGCCCTCTTCTGGCCTTCAGGCATACACACAGACAGAATATCGTATACATAATAAATAAATAAATATTTAAAAAAAAATCTAGATCCAGGGCTGGAGAGATGGCATAGAGGTTAAGAGAACTGACTGCTATTTCGGAGGTCCTGAGTTCAATTCCCAGCAACCACATGAGTCACACCCATCTATAATGAGATCTGGTGCATAATAAATAAAGTAAAAAGAAAAAAAAATCTAGATCTATGTTTTTTCCCCTGGTGCTGAAGTGGGAGTGGAAAAAAGAAGAATCCTTGAAGCTTAACAGCAGCCAGCCAGTCTAGCCTTGTTGGTGAGGTCCAGTGTCTCAAAAAACTAAGGTAGACTTCTGACGCTGGCCCCTGGCTGAAGAGATAGGGCTGAAGGGCACTGTACATAAAGCAAGCTCCTTTCTGGTGGTGTGCAAATAAAACTGTGGCAGGCAGGTGGGGCAGGCAAGTGGGCAGGCCTTGGTGAAGAAGGCAGCACTTAAAGAATCTGCATAAACATAATATACACATCCACACCCTGCACACGCGCCAATAAACAGCACCCTGCTAATTTAAAATGTCCTTGGGCCACATTTCAAGGCCTTCCAGCCAAGGCTCTGATAAAAGGTGACTCTGGTTATTAGCAGTCTTGCTGAGTCAGGTTCTATTGAGAAACAGGTCACCTCAGGGTCAACCATGCTCTTTGTGTGTTTGGTTTTGTTCTTGTCCAACTTAACGTGAAGTGGGAGGCATTAGTATGTCGGCATAGAGCACTGTAAAGGGCCAGAAAGATGAAACTTACAAAGCTACGAGGAACTGAAGTCGAAAATTATTCCCCAAGACCAAATCTTTTTGGGGGAACTTAACGTCTGAACATTGATAAAAACAAGTCAAGTTTCGAGGGACTTATACATTAAATTAAAAATTGGAAACAACGAGCTGTAAGATTCACTGGGTGGCTCTAGAAATAGAAACCGTGTGTGCATTACATCCTCATATGCAAACTGGCTATGAGCATGCACTTCTCTTATGATGACCATGAGTTAGGGACAAACTAGTTCACAAACAAAGAAGATGGCTCATATCTGTGATCCAGGCTTTGAAAAGTTAAGGCTGGAGGATGAGGAATTCAAGGCTATCAGGAAAAAAAAAAAAAAAAAAAAAAAAAAAAAAAAAGAAAAAANNNAAAAAAAAAAAAAAAAAAAAAAAAAAAACAAAGACAAAAGCTAACAAGCCAACTGAAAGAAAGCCATTGAAGAGGGGAAGGAAGAGAGAAAAGAAATGGAAGAAAGGGGGAGAGAGAGGAAGGAAGAGAGAGAAGAGAGGGAAGGAATGGGGAGAGAGGAATGAATGGGAAGAGAGAAGAGGAAAAGTAAAACAGGAATGGAGAGGAGGGGAAGAAAAAGGAGGAGAAGAAAAGGAAAAAAAATTGTAGTTCACTTTCTGGGTTAGAAAAACCCTCTTCTAAACACAGTTAAATCAAAACCAGGTCAAAATAACAGTCCTGGCCTACCACAGGAAGAGACGCTTGTTTACTTGGCTGGTTGGCATTTCTGCTGGACTTTCTATTCAGAGCGTTCACCTGCTGGACAGGACTTCACTTCCCATAGTCTGGCCAGCTCAGGTGAGGACAAGGCAAGGGTGCTGCTTCCTTTGCTCCAGCCCTGGTCTGAACCGAGTGCACTGGCGCCTCTCACCACCAAAAGGAATATTTTTCCAAGTAAGTGATCACTGTAAAATGTTATTGTTTTTCTCTGTGGACGGGCCCCATCTCCTCCTCTGAATATAAATTGCGCAGTTAACACAAGAAAACCGGACTTTTATTATTTGTTTGTGAGAGCACAAGAGGGCCTTGTGCCCTTGGAACAGTTATTTCTAGACCTCAATTCCCTTAGGATAGCTCCCTCTCTAAGCGTTCCTTCCACTTTTTTAAACAAGTAATTAACTTAAGACAAAGCATTTCAAAGAATGAAATAAGTAGGGAAAATGTCTATACTGATAAACATTCATGTAAAACTTAACTGTGGGGGGGCAGTTAAAGTGGAATAGGCTGCAGTTGCTTAGTTATTCAACTGAGACTACAGAACCCCAAGATGATCAAGAACCGGGGTGGTCCCCGCTTTGACTGGGAGCTTACTTGTGTTGGGCTACTTCCTGTGGATGAAATTTTAAAGTTCTCACCTCAATTCAAGTGCAGTTGATGCCGCTTTTTACAGACAAGGAAACTGAGGCAGAGAGGTCAAATGCCTCACTCAACAGTGTATATGGCCAAGGGTTCATTCAGGTTACAGCTCAGTGTAGGACCAACTGCATAGCGTGGATGAGGTCTGGGGTTTGGCCCCCAGCATGGCAAAAGCAGAATAAAACTAAAAATATATAAATAAACCTCCACTGACAGTCTGTTTCTAACCTCTACATGAGGCGTTCTTTCTCCTTACAGGGAGTTATGTCAGCTGACTGGTCATAGCAAGGCAGGATAAAGTTAGGTGTGAAAACCAAACTGAGGATACTGGGATGAGAGAGTCGCCAGCAGACAGAGAAAGAGAGCAAGATGTGTACGCTGTTCTGAGTAAGGGTACCATGCCCCATGCCATGTGGCAAAAAATGAGTAAGAAATATGTTAATTTGAGTTGTATGAGTTAGCTAGTAACAAGCCTGGGCTATCAGCCAAGCAATGTGGGATTCCCCTCTGTATGCTATGAATATTATTTTATTACTATGGGTTAAAAAAGAAGCTGCATTGTTCTACTGCAGTGCAGAATATAGGTAGGTGGGAAAACCAAACAATGCAGGGAGAAAGAAAGTAGAGTCAGGCAGTCACCATGTAGCTGCCAAAGGAGAAAGATGCTAGAACCTTACCAGTAAACTGCAAGCCTCATGGTAAAATATAAAATAATAGAAATGGGTTAATTTAAGATGTAAGAGCTAGATAGGAATATGCCTGGTTATTGGACAAGCAGTGTTACAATTAATATAGTTTCTGTGTGTTTCTTTGGGACTGAATGGTTGCAAGACCAGGTGGGACAGAAACTTCCGTTTACAGTCAAGTATTTGTAATGTCTGTTATTTGGGAGCAGGCAGATGGGACAGGAAAACTCTGCCTACAAGTGTCAGTTAGATGGAGAAGGAAGGCACTGTGTATGTCCTATTCTACCCAAGCAGATGGAGTCATATTAACTGTCTGTAGAAGGGCTGGCAAGCACAGTGCAGCTGGAAGCAAGCTAGGACCAGTGCTAATGTGCAATTCACTGTAAGGTGAGCCATGATTATTAAGTAGAGTTTTTCTAACAAGGAGTTTGTCACACTGTTGAGCCTTAATAAATATCAACTGACCAAACCACCACTATCAAAAGCATCTGATCTTGCAAGGAACAAGGAATAATTTAGACAATAGGGTTGATTTTTTTGTTTTGTTTTGTTTTGTTTTTCGAGACAGGGTTTCTCTGTGGTTTTGGAGCCTGTCCTGGCACGAGCTCTTGTAGACCAGGCTGGTCTCAAACTCACAGAGATCCGCCTGCCTCTGCCTCCCAAGTGCTGGGATTAAAGGCGTGCGCCACCACCGCCCGGCAGACAATAGGGTTGAATGTAGCTTCTATTTACAAAGCTAAATGCTATTTATACTTTATCATCTAAGAAGACAAACTTTTTTAATAGCCCCCTCCCCCTTTTCCAGATGTGGGAACAAAGGACATTAAGGTAGCATGCAAACTCACGGAGTAAGAACACACTTTGGATTTGAACCCAGGTCTGGTTTTACTTCTCCAGTTCCTAACCTCTATGTTTCATTGCTTTATTCAAGAGTGGGTACATAACCTTTATTTTTATTTTATGTGCACTGGTATTTTGCCTGCATGTATGTTTGCATGAGGGTGTTAGACCCTGGAACTGGGGTTGTGAGCCACTATGTGGCTATGTGGCTCCTGGGAATTAAACTCGGGATCTCTGGAAGAGCAGTCAGCATTCTTAACCACTAAGCCATCTCTCTAGCCCCCAGTACATATCCGCTATTTGAGGTGTCCAAGAAGCAGGGTTTCTCACATTTTGTATGAATTTGAACAATATGCAAGAGGAAGTTGGTGTACTGAGTATTGGTTTGGATCCAATGACTTCAAAGGTTCCCATTATTGCAAAACTTATTTAAAAATTGGTGGTACTATGAAATAAGTCATTTTACAGTCTTCTTTAGTGTGCCCAGGTATGTATTTATCTACCTGGCAAAAAGGATCACCTCCTCAACAAAATCTCTTTGAATGACCATACCATTGTTAACTCACGCTGTGAATATCCCCATGTCTTCGAGTCTATTTGTAAATTCCCTAAGGGAAGCTCCATTGTAGTGTCTTATTCATGTTTATCCCAGGATTCTGACTACTAACAAAATGTGCATCTAATTGAATATAACAGCAGGAGAGAAAAGGGTTCCAAGGGAGTCAAAGGACATAGGGAGAGTTTGGCACGGGTACCTTGATCAGAATTGATGATCATAAGAGGCTGGAGAATTGGCACAGTGGATAAAACTCCAGCCACATAAGCATACACATCTGATTTCCTAACACCCACATAAAAGCCGTGTGTGTGTGTGTGTGTGTGTGTGTGTGTGTGTGTGTGGTAGGCGACCTGAAACCCCAGCAGTTGTTCAGGAGGCTAAGACAGACGGTCTTTAGGGTAAGCTGGCTAGCAAGTTCAAGGAGCTCTAGGTTTGGTGAGAAACCTCACCTCAACAAATGACGAAGTGAGAAACTGAGGGAGACACTCAATGCCACCCTCAGGCCTCCATGTGTTCACACAAGCCACAGATGCACAGCCACACACGTGCAAACATAATTACAATCTGAGTTTATGTGGGTTGGAAAGAAACACTAGATCTTTAAGGAGAAGTTTTGAGATTCAAGGGACAGTCTCACCCGTTAAAAGCCAACTTAGACAAGGTTAAAAAGAAATTGCTACTATATATTTAAAAAATCACAAGAAAACCAAGTTAACTAAATTTTTGTGTTGATAAATAAATAAGGAATATCTTGTTCCTGGCTGATGGCATTTACTACTAGAATTTAGCATTTTTGAAACAATGCTTACAGTGTTCAAAAAAATTCACACGGTGCAAAAGTTACCATTTTCGAACATACAGTCTCTGTTACATATATTCAAACACTCCTCGAAATGGAAATTTTCTCTTGAAAATCAGACTTCAGACCTCCTCAATAACTGCATACCAAACACGCACACGCACGCACGCGCGCGCACACACACACACACACACACACGCTCATTCTTACACACATGCATGCATGCACCCAGAGAGAGAAAAAAACAACCTGGGGCTACGGGTCAATGACAGATCACTGGCCCTGCATGTGTGAGACCCTAGGTTCAATTCTCAGGACTGAAACAGAAAAACACAAAAAAAAAAAAAAACAAACAAAGAGAACTTGGGCTCCTTGGACCCAGAGCTGAATCACGGTGCTCCTAAGAACCTTGAGCAAGCCTCTTAATTTCTGAAGTCAAAATGACTTACTTGTGAATAATTATTACTAATACATTTCTCAGTGAATCTGTGTGAAGATATACTGAGTCGAGAAAAAGGGAGTGCACAGAGAACGACCTCGAGATTTTCTTGGAAAACAAAACAAACAGGCCATCAATACCGTATTTGCCATTTGCAAGGCAGGATCCATCAAGCCCAGGATTTCTTCATTATAACTTGATTCCAGGCTGATGATGTCATCGATCACATCATCCATCTGCAGAGAAAGAGCCACAGAGAGAAAAAGGAATGAGAAACAGGTGCAGGGCCAACCCCAAAAGGACCTTTTGGGTCATTTCTTACCTAAAGTAACAGTGGTCTTTAGGTAGTGTCTAAGGAGTAACTGTTATCTCCCGCACTAAAATCAAGACATTACTGAAACCTGCTGACCAGAGAGGGCAATGGAAGCTTCACCTAGAGCTAGCATGTCAGCTGTTACTGGGCATCAAAAGCTGAGCTTGGGTGGCTCCTTGAGGTACATTTACTCTGGCGGTCACCCTGTGAAAGTAGGGGGCTCTAACGGGGCAGCTTCCGTGCAGGTGGGAGAATGAGAAGCCACCTGTTTAGAGTCACACAGCAAGCAGAGCCAGGCTGTGATTTAACCTGAGTTTCCACCACTATGTTGAACTGCCTGCCCTTTCCACTGGAAAGATGAGCCAGGAAACGCCACTTGCCCGAAAGCCACTTCTTCCCTTTTTCCTTTCCCGCAGCCTTCTAGGAGAAGGAAAACAAGCGGTTCTTGGCCCTTGCATTCCCCAGGGGCCCCCTGGCCACTGGCTGGCGCTGCAAGGATGGCAGAGTGACTTGCTAAGCAGGCACCTCTCTGGACAGCTGCCAGTGAGCCCGGTACTCCCGGAGGAACGCACCAGGACGAGGTTATCATTACAGTCGTGGAGCTGACATTCCCACTAGATCAATTTCATTGCTGAAGTACCAAAACATCAGTTAACATCATAAACAACAATGATTACATGCGCCTTGCCGCAGTGGCGGAGTCTGTGGGAATATTTCCTTGTAAACACCTTATGTTTGGTGGCTGGCTGATGTGTGTGTGCCTGGGTCTGAACGGTGAGCAAGATTCACAGTGAGATCTAATGGCCAGGGGCACTCCTGTGGTCATCTGCTCCTCTCATTAAAGAGGCTCTGCATCACGAGGCTTGGGTTCAGATCTGTTTGTCTCCTCTTCCTGGGGAAAGGGCAAAGCCTCCAATCGTCAGAAGTCTCAGTGTGCCAGCCTATCAAATGGGGACAGTAATGTATACTGTCTCAGTCTCACTGGGGACCTATGAGGTTTCAGGAGAAGCCTTCCAATTTGTTCAGAATGTCAGGAATGCAGTAACCTCTGAAGAATGATCTTACCAAGTGATTCCTCTGAGGAACTGCCAGGGGTCAGATCTGAGTAGATGCCAGCATGCCGTGTGTTAGTTTCCATTTCTAGGCACACCAGCCTTATTTGTTTGTCATAGAAGACTTTATGACCAAGGTGATGAAGGGGAAAATAGGCTGGGGACTCGGACAACTTTCCTTTATACATTTTGACTTTAGTTTTAGGAGAGCAAAACTAGTGACCCGGATGTATCATTAAAATACTCTATGCTCTATTATATACAGAAAGGCAAAAAAAAATGTTGTTTATATTATATTCTCTCTCGTATATCTGAATAAGGACAACAATAAACAGTGCCATTTACTCACTAAATAGAATTTAAATAATGATCTTCAATTGTTTGGGGACGTGCTCATCGACTATTATTAACTTAATAAAGTTTCATAATACATGGAGGTTCCAGTCACAAAAACAATAAAGAGATCGACACAGCTTGGCTTCCAGAGTGTATGGTTTAGAAGCCGGTACAATGCTACACAACATGTGCTGGTGATTTTTGCAAATTAACTAAATCACCATGCATTTTATTTACAACAATATATGTATTTTACCCTCTCCTTATGACTGCAGGCTACTTAAGGGGCACATACATTTAAGCTTCTTAGTTGTTACCTAGTCATTCATGAGTTACTATGAAAAAAAAATGGGTCTGTTCATAGCCTTTTCTATGAAAAAAGAATCAATGGGAGGAAACAAGTCCTTGAAGTCATCAGGAGGTGTGATCATTCACAAATATAGATTCTCATTATAAAGTGTTACATCCGCGGCCTGCCGAGTCATTCAGTACCTGCATGCACGATGCTCGAGAGTGCGTGTTCATACCTGGGCACTCACTCTCTGCCCTGCTCTGCTCTTCAAACTTATAAAATGCCTGCAGAAACACAAGCAGAGACAGCCCATGACTTGGGTTTGCAAACGCCTTTTCAACAGCACATTCACGGGTTAGTGGCAGGGCAACGGAATGGACAGAGCTTTGGAACAAGCAGCTGCTAACCGAGGAGCAGAATAAGGGAGGGAATCTTGGGTCAAAGCCTATGGCAGGTATGGGTGGGTAAAACCTGTTGGCTGTGGGCAGAGGAAATGTCCCTCCAGTGACTCAAATCAACCAAATGCGACAGTCACTTCTGAACTCACATAAACACTTGGATATATAATAAAACTCTACTAAAATGAGACACAGTCTCATAATTGAGAAATGACAGACACCCCATCACAGCAGTGCCCCCAGGTATTTTTAGGCTCCAAATTTTGATGCAGAAATCAGCTTGAGGGTTTGAGTGTTGTCTCCAATCCAGCTGTACCAAAACGGGTTTACCGGGCAGCAATTAATCATGAAACCGACTGGATGTCGTAGTAAGCCTTGCTTTTCCTCTCAAGTCCGCATGTGCCACACTGTTCAAATCCATCCGTACACATTCCATGCGTTTTCTTTCTCCAACTCCACGGAAAATAAAAATAATCCCCAGACCTTCACAGCAGCAGAACTTCTAAGTCTCCCGCCCCACACCTTCTCTATTTTTGCTTTCCCTTTGCCGCCTCCCCTTCTCCTCTCTGCATTTTCACTGCTTTGCAAATTGGAAGGCATAGAAAGGAGGAGAACACTCCACTAAGGAAGGAGATGGGAGTTAAGGAAGCATCCCCACCTCCACATTCTGCTTAGAGCAAGGCAGGTCTCCTGCCGTGTGCAATAAACACGGTAACCTAGTGCTGCTGACCAGAGGCTGAGACGTAAATGGTCACACCAGGAAATAGGGGACAGAGGCCGGTGAGGATGACCGGGTGGACAACAGACAGTCCATCACAGAGGGAGAGAGAGGAGCATCCCAGAGACAGTTAATGGAGTGTAAGACGCGGAGGAGGAGACGTGATTTACCTCTTTTTCACAGTTGGAGTTAAGAGTGAGCATAGCCATGGGGCTGTTGGGTGCGCTGCTCCCCGGCACTGGTGGCATGGCGTGGTCGCCAGGCTGGTTTGGACATGGTGAGCTCAGGACTTGGCTGGCATGTTTATTTGCTAACGTGGTAGAAAGGTACTGCTTTACCTGGTGCCTCTGGGCTTGCTGTATGTGGTACTTGGTGGGGTTTTCCAGGTGGGTCTGCACCTGAGCATGGCCATGGAGGAAGAGAAGATAGCAGGGTTATTCTGGAGTTTCAAATGACTCTTCCTGTAGCATACATTGTGAGACTGACCAGTCCACCAACAGAACAGATTATCAGTTCCTGTACGGTACCGGGCAGGCACTGTGTTAAAGGATTTTGATAGGACTGACGTTGAGAGTCTAGTCCCAGGATTTAGAACTCTTAGGACCCAAGGTGATAACTATCCTGGTTGACTTCCATAGTAATTAACTACCTCTCTCCTTCAATCCTAGTGCCCTTCTTCTCATGGGTAATTGTTAAAATCTGAAAGTATAGATGAGGCAAGAATCTTCCCCAACACACCAGAAAGAATTTAGAGAAATCAAAATAACAAACTCGACAATGCACAATTCAGTTTATCTCACTTTCCTTGGCAAACAGAAGAGCTTTCCGTTAAAACACACATGTGTGAAGCCCCCCATACACACACACATACACACAGAATCATACTCACATATACAAAAAACACACACATGCATTCACACACACACACACACACACACACACACACACACACGTGCGCGCGCGCACACACACAAGCCACGCACAAAAGCCACACACAAAATTCTTAAACTACTATGGAACTGTTATAGAAGATAATCAGAAACATTGCCACATTTCAATCAAGGAGCTAAAGGTTAATTCCTTTCATATACAAGAGTATAATTATTCAAGATTCTAATTATGAACGGGCTCAGTAGAAAAAGCAATCCACATGAAGCAGTTCCTTCCGAGTGCATAGCAGTGCATGCATGTGTCTCTAAAGGCATGGCTATTAACTTGTGAGCCAACAGGCTATCTATTGTCCTTTCCCATAAACATCAACAAGGAATTAGGGATGCTTTTTTTTTTAAAAAAACAAAATCAGTGACAGTCAATTATAATCCATCTTATACACTCTAAACAAGAGCTGGTGGAGGGAATGCAGCGAGCTGCTAGGAAACAAGAATCCAATGTTGTTCCCCAGGTCTAAAACCATACTAAATTATTTCTTAGGGCATCAGAGAAGAAACAGCATTAAAAGAGCGTATCTGTTCTTATTGCCAACAGAGTTCTTAGTGAAGTAACAGCGAAGAGACAAGTTAGCCCATGTATACCCTTGCCGTTCAGGCTCCGGGGGGGATAAGCAGGGAGGCTCACCTGGTAGTGACTGTACTCTAGCATTTCCAGCATAGCAACGTCTCGGGCGACCCCAAGCCAAGGCGACAGGGCAGACTACTTATTCCTCCTCCCTCTACTTTCTGTAATTCCGACTCCAAGAGCGACTGGCGTAGAGAAGGCACCATAAACAAGGCATCCCGAGGCGCCGCCGGAAACGTTATCACAGCAGCACGGCTTATAATAACCTAGGCTAATTAGTTATGCGTGTAAAAAAAAAAGCTGTTCTCTCACAGGGGACCTTTTTTTTAAAAAAAAAATTCCTACTAGTTTGGGCTTAAATATTGATATCAGTTTCCCCCCTGGCTTGACGTCATGCTTTCTTTCATAGATATAAAAGAACCTTTTAAAAGGATGAGCTATCAAAGTCAAGCTTACTGGCAGATCAAGGCCATTCACCATTCATCTTTAGTTCCAGTAGCATTAATGGACAATGGTGTTTCTCTTTCAGGAATAGGTTAAGAGCTGGATGCCCCCTTCGGAGGAGACATTGCCTAAGAGCTACTGTCACACATGAGACTTTTCTAACAGCCAAATAATGATGCCGTGGCAGCAAGGATATGAACTTTTAGCATGGAAGATACTTTCCAAACTCTGTAGCTACATCTTGCACCCCAGTCTCAATGGATACGTTCACTCTGAGCTAGGTAGATGGGCATCCTGCCTCCTAACCTCAAGTCAGCAGGCAAGGGAGTTATTCTATGCACACACACACAGGAGACAAGAAGAGAGAGAGAGAGAGAGAGAGAGAGAGAGAGAGAGAGAGAGAGAGAGAGAGAGAGAGAGAGAGAGAGAGACAGAGACAGAGAGAGAGACAGAGACAGAGAGAGACAGAGACAGAGACAAAGACAGACAGACAGACAGACAGAGGGGAGGGAAGACAAGACAGACAGACAGAGACAGAGACTCAGCTTCACACTCATATAGAAAGGAAACCAGCAAACAAACAAAAAATACCTTTCTCAGCTAACCCTCAAACTAGGAAGCACGGAAATTCTTACTGGAAGCTTGATACAGTTCATGGGGCAAGACGAGAATAAACCATCGTGCCCCATGGTAGACGCAGCTATGGTCTTTCCATCTGTCCACTCCACTGTTTACTGTCATTATATGCTACACACGTAAATAACAGGACAGTCACCATAAGCGATCAGAAGAGAGATATGATTTCTAGCTTTATAAATCAATTTTGCTCTGCAGGGTGAAGCAAAAGAAGAAAAAGAGACAGATCTATATTTAGAAATTGGGATAAATTCTGCTTGCTGTTAAAATGGGGTGAGCATAAATATTTGCAACCCATTACTGTTTTTCAAAACACTGTGGCCACGGCAGTACTTCTGGCTGACCATCCCGAGCCCGTCTGACGCTGCACACTGAGGTTCACAGGCATCTTCAGCTTTTGTAAAAGGGTCCAGACGCGATAATGATGAGGACAATAGACGGTACCAAAATAAACACGAAATGAGGGCAGTGAGCGGAATGTGCTTATTTCTCTACTCCCCTGAAAAAGAGACACGGCTGCACATTTAAAAATAAACGCTAATTCACTGGCAGAACCGCTTTCTTTAATGAATCAGAATGTCGTGCCTTAGTAACGAAGGGACTCATTCTCCACCCGGCACTGGCAGAGAGGTCTTTACTATGCTCAAGTCTGGAAGTGGAGTGAAATTTTCTTTGTGACATTTCTACCGGCTCTTTTGGATTTTCAAGTAAGCTAAGACGGTAGGTCTTTTTTTTTTTTTTTTTTAAATATTTATTTATTATGTATACAATATTCTGTCTGTGTATGCCTGCAGGCCAGAAGAGGGCACCAAACCCCATTATAGATGGTTGTGAGCCACCATGTGGTTGCTGGGAATTGAACTCAGGACCTTTGGAAGAGCAGGCAATGCTCTTAACCTCTGAGCCATCTGTCCAGCCCAAGACGGTAGGTCTTAAAGTGTCCACTGCACAAGCATGAGGAACCGAGTTCAATCCCCAGAAGCCACATAGAAAAAATAGGGCGCCACTTTTAATCCCAACAGCCTTGCAGACGTGAAGGCAGACAGATCCTGGGACTCACTGACCAGTGAGGCTATCCATATCAGCTTCAGTGAGAGTTCCTGCCTCGAATTAAAAAAAAAAAAATGGCAGAGAGTGACCGAGGGAGACAACGTGGTGACTCTCAGGCACAGGCAGGACGGGCTGAGGGAGTGGAAGTTTGGAAATGCTGTGCTGCAGACAGAGCTCCAGTGGGCATTCCCGACCTAGGCCCCACCCACAGGTGTTACAACTGAGGGCCCCAGCTATGCATAAGGTCGCGGGGAGCAGGGTTGTCTTGAGGACACCCAAAGCCATTCACTTCTAAAAGAAACAGCAGATTCAGGCTGCAGCTGCCTCGCTCTGAGTACACCAACCTATAGCGCTTAATCACCCAAATTCTCAAGGGTAGCGAGTGCTTTAAAATTTTTAAAGTGAAATATTTGAAATGTTTTTTTTTTTAAAAAGTCAACATTCTATTTTTCATGTGGCATAAGACAGAGCAGGCACACTGGGAGTGAATCGAGGGAGCAAAGCACCCGGGCGTGTCTTGTCTCAGTCTGTGTTTTCTGTCTCAGCATCTGTGGACACAATCTTATTGGCATGCCCTGGAGGGTGGGCTGGCTTCAGAGAAGTTGCTCTTCTGAGAAGTTGGTGCTCAAATCTGTGTTTCCTGGAAATTCCCGGAGAGGCTGGGTGCCTGATCACATGGTAAGAAAAGGAGCTGAGGACCCAACATCCCTGTTCAGACTCTGAGAGTACAAATGACTAAGCAAGTCTTTAGCTTCTCCAGTCCTCGTGTACCAGTGCGGCTGATAGGAGCTTACTACATCCTGTCTTCAGTGTCAGACAAAAGCTCATCAGTTATCAGAAACGGCAGTCCCCAAAGCTTTTGTCACGGGGGCTTTACGTTCTCCCAAACTGCTGTGTTTCTATCAACCAGCTTAGCATGAACATGTTTTCTTTTGAAAACAGGGACTCCCTCCCATACTAGCATAGCAAGGATGACTTCCTAGGATACCACATATTTCTATTCTAGTGGGAGAAGAGTGGTGCAGGTCGTTTCTTAGTATCAGGATAGAATTAGTTTTCATCTTGTGGAAACACTCTGAGGGTCCGGGAGAGTCCTGAGTCTCCTGAACACACCCTGAACCACTGATGTAGAACATGGTTTACTCTAGCATCATCCCAGCTGGGATGCATGCCACTGTGAACAAGTGTGCCCTACTCTTCTCATCCTGAAGATGCTGGAGACAGATCCGACTCTGTTCACACCCTTTCACACCATCCTTATGAGGCTCTGTCACTCTGAAAAGCCTGACTCAACAAAATGTGGTGAAAAACCTGAGGGCTTCCAAGCATTTGAAATCCAAATCACAAGGCTAGACTATAATATTCTAAATGTTTCCCAGCATACAGTGTCCACTGACCTCATCTATATTTCATGTTAGCTATCCACACGAAAACCCACGGGATCTCAATCGTCTTTGATCTGGCCCTCGCCTGTTGCCCTGTCTTCATCAAGACCATGAAAAGTTTGCAGAGCTGGATGGATGGTAGCCCTGCCACTCCCTGGTGACACTGACAAGCTATTTACCTCCAGTCGCCAGTCATCAGTCAGGGCGAGATGGTGGCCACAGATACCACCATGCTCGCTGACTCCACGACTCACTGTGGCGAACACATCTCATCTGAACTGTCATGGCTCCTCTCCTCCCTCCCCCATTTGCCATTCTAAATTTGAACAAATCCACTAAAAATCTCCCACAATACTTTCAGTTTATAA